CGAGGTGGGGAGTCCCAGCGGTGCTTACCTGGGGTGGCTCCCGGGACCCCCCCGGCAGGTCCCTCTGGTTCTTAGGGTCGGGTCAGGGGGGTGGTGGGCGGAGGGCTCTCTGTGCGCTGCTGGCGCCTGCAAGTCCCACTCTGCGGCGCTGGCAGCTCCCATTGGTGCTTTTCCCAGCCAATGGGAGCCACAGAACTCGCGCTTGTGGCGGGCGCAGCCCGTGGAGACCCCTCGGCTGCCCCGATCCTAGGAGCCAGAGGGACCTGTGACAGGAGAGGTGAGTAGGTGAGCGGGACAGGGTGAAGAGGCAAGCAACGAGCCAGCAGCGGGTGGGGGGGGTGAGTAGGCGAGCGCGGGGGGTGGTGGTGGTGAAGAGGTGAGCAGCGAGGGAGCCAGTGGCTGGCTGGCTGGCTGGCGGGCAGGTGAGGAGGCAAGTGGCGAGCGGGGAGGATGAAGAGGCGAGCAGTGAGCCAGTGGTGGGCGAGGGGGCGGTGAAGAGGCGAGTGGCAAGGGAGCCAGCAGCGGGCAGGAGGGTGAGGAGGCCACATAATTTTTTCTTATATATACTCAATATAGACGACATGTAGCAGACAGAATATATAACAGTATAATAACACATTAATACAACACGAGTTGGTAGCTACTGGTGTAAATACCATTCTCCCTCCCCCCGCCCCAGAGTAGTGTCCTCTTTTTTGAATGTTCAAATATGGTAACCCTACCCAATCTGGCAATTGAACCCACCAGCATGGATACATGCCCTCATGTGGATTCCCCCCATTGACTTCAACAGGACTCTTTCAAGGCACAGAGTTCCATGCTGAAAGTCTGTTTCTCAACTGTAAACTCAGTATTAATTTTGTGAACTTTCACTGATACTATTTATCATAAATGCAATTTTTAACTATTTTCATTTTAAGCCATTTTATCCCATATGCGTAGGAGTACCCTTAGATTTCTTTCCAAAATGTTATTGTTTTGTTTTTATTCTTTCAACAATATGTTAGAAAGTCATCAGGAAAACACCATTGTATTAATTATGTGAGCAAAGTAGGAAAGGCAACTGACACATCTTTTCCTAAAGTTCCCTTCAGTTGTTTCACATACCTCTGTATTGTTCTTCCAGACTCAAGAACATTGGCTGGTGGCTCAGCATACACAAAAGTAAGGATCATCAAATGCTGTTGATAAACATGGGTTGGATGTTATGTTTGCTTGCATCTTCACCAGGTGCTCCAGTAAATGAAGGTGACTTATCTGTAACCAGAGTTCTTCGAGATGGGCTCTGCATAGTCACACTCCTGGGGTCCTCCAACCAGTACAGGCTAGATGGTAGAACCTTAGCTAGCAGTGCTTGTTGGAGCACTCAGGTACCCATCCCACCTCTTCCCTCAGCAAACATTCTGAGGCTGGAGGTATAAAGCAGCATGGGGCTGTGGTCACCTTAGTCGCTTCCCTCCTGATCCCACGTCCTTTGTAGTATTTAGGGTCCAAGGAAGAGGGGAAGGTGGATGGGGACCATGAATATGCAGAGTCTGTCTTGAAGAACTCCAGGTAACAGGTAAGTAACCTTCATGTCTTCTTCAAGTGACCTCTCCATATTGCCACTCCTGGCAGAGATTGGCTAGCAGTACACCTATCCTAGGAAGGTGGTCTGTGAAGTCCTAATATAATAAAGATTGGAGAACTGCTTTACCAAATTGTGCATCTGATCTAGACTCTAAATCTAAAGAGCAGTGTTTGGTAAAAGCACAAATGGAGCTCCATGTAGCTGCTCTACAAATCTCAACTAGCAGAATGTGTCTGCTGAATGCCATAGTGGCTTCCTTTGCTCTAGCAGAATGAGATCTCATTGTTTTCAGGGAGCAGAGACTAATATGCCTTCTGTATCCAAAAGTCTAACTCGTTTAGACAATGTTTGTGTAGCGATAACCAGACCTTTCCTTCTCTCTGTGTAACAAATGAAAAGGTTGGGCGATTGTCTAAACTGTTGGATTCTCTCTAACTAATAGAGTAAAGCTCTCATCATCAAGCATGTGTACTTGGGTCTTTCCCATATGACTACGTGGTTTAGAAAAGAATACCAGTAAATTAACTGTTTGATTAATATGGAATTTAGAAACTACCTTAGGTAAGAATTTAGGATGAGAGTGTAGCACTACTTTGTCTTTATGGAAGATAGTAAACATTGGTTCAGACATTAGGGCTTGTAGCTCATTTATTCTCCTTGCTGAGGCGATAGCTATGAGAAATGTCATCTTAATGGATAAGTAGAATAGCATAAATTCCTCCAAAGGGTGTTGCATACATTGAGTAAGCACTATATTTAGATCCCAGGATGATACAGGACATTTAAGTGGTGGATAGAACGTAAGCTCTCTTAAGAATTTCATTACTATATCCTGAACAAACCCTGGTTTATTATCTACAGGGACATGGTGTGCAGAAATAGCTGAGAGATGAACCCTTCTGGATGACAATGAGAAACCAGACATTTTAAGATGGAGCAAATACTCTAAAATATACTAAATAGCTGCTGTATAGGGATCTACATATTACTACTGTTTGCCCATAATAAAAATATTTTCTGTTTATGTGCATAACATCTCCATGTGGATTCTAAGGAACAGGACTATTTCAAGTGTCTCAAAGTCCTATTGCCCATGTTGTTTGGTGAAGTGACTGAGAATCCAGGTGAGAACTCTGTCCCTTGCTGTTGTGACAGTAAGTCTGGGGATAGTGACAGGAGTCTGTATACTTCCCTGGACAGGTGAATGTCCAGATACCACTCTTGCTGGATCTAAACTGGGATTATTAAAATTATCTCAGCTCTATCCTGTTTTATTTTTTTCATCACCTTCAGAATGAGAAGGAAAGGTAGAAATGTATGTAGGAGATCCTGTCCCTAGTCTATCAGAAATGTGTCTGAGATAGATCCCTTGTCTCTCCCTGCCCTTGAGCAGAATCTTAAACATGTCTGATTGGTTTTAGATGCAAAGAGGTCGATGGTTGGTTGTCCCCACAATTTGAAGTTTTCTTTCACCACAGTAGTTTTTGTGCATTTGCAAAGGTTTTCAGATTAGATGATCCACAAGAATGTTACTTTTTCCTTCTAAATGAATGGCCACCAGGTAAATATCATCGCTATACATCAATCCCGAAGGCCTATTGCCTCCTTGCATAACTGAGGGGAATGAGCAACCCCTGCTTATTCAGATAGTATGGCAGTTCGATTGTCTATTGCTACCTGAACTGTAATGGATTTGTGGCAAAAATGACTTTAGAGCCTCTCTGATGGCTCTCATTTCCAGTACGTTAATATGCATCTTCCTCTCTGAGGGAGGCCGATGACCTCTTATTGTGACACTGTTGCTGACATGGACACCCCAACCTAGACTGGATGCATCCAAAGTGACTATTATTGAAGGTATCAGAGGATGAAAAGGTATCCCCACCATAACATTCTGATATAGTGTATACCACTATTAGTGTTCATAACGCTTCCCAGGAACCACCAATTTTTGACACATTCTGTATATGCAGGGTCTGTAATTGCTTGCTAGCCATTGCTGTACAACTTTCATTTGTTGTTGAGCATAAGGAGCCACAGACACAGTGAGGCTTTGAGACCCAGTAGTCTGCAGGAGAAGATTATCTGCTCCAGGGATTGTGGAAGTAGAGATATCACCCATTTTATTTTTACCTCTCTCTCTTGTGGGGAAAAAAAGCTCAGCTTCTATCGAGTCCAATGTAGCCCTTATGAATACAGTCGTCTGAGTGGGTTCCAGGAGCAACTTTTCCCAGTTTATTCACAACCCCAGATTGACGAAGAGGGAGCATATTTGCATTATCACTGATAATAACATCTCTCTGAGTGATGCATTGACTAGTCAATCATGTAGATAAGCACAGATGAAGGTCCTTTGCTTCCTCAGATATGCAGCAACTACAGAGAGGTACTTTGTAAAAACCCGCAGGGCAGTAGAAAGACCAAAGGGGAGGACCTTGTATGGAAAGTGGTCCTTTCCCATCATGAAATGTAGGTATTTTTGATGGGGAGGTCTTATTGAAATATGAAAATATGCATCCTTCAGATCCAGAGTTGCAAACAAGTCCTGTATAGAAAAGAAAGGGATTATGAATGATAGACAACATGCAGAGCTGAAACTTGCTGATTAATGAATTTAGTTTCCTGAAAACTAAAATGAGATGAAAACTCCCATCCTTTCTTGGTATTAGGAAGTATCTTTAAATAAAATCCTTTCCCTCTGTACTCAGGTGGAATTTCCTCTCGTGAGATGGGTCCTTGAAGAGGGATGGTAGCGGGGGTTGGAAGGAGGGAGGTTTTGAATTTGGATAGAGTATACACTGAGAACAATTTCTAGAATCCACCTGTCTGATATTATAGATTGCCAGTGGTGACAGAACTGGAACGGGTGGTCCCCAAGTGGAATAGGACTGGTGTAGCGGATGGTTACCCTGCTCCTGCCCTGAAGGGCTTAAAACAGCCCTGGGAGAGGGCTGTGGCAGGGAAAGCAGCTAATAGGCTGATTGGGGAAGCAGCCGAAGCTGGGCCACGCCCCAATCAGGCCTCAACTTGCCCTATATAAGAGGCTGGGAGCCAGGAGCTCAGCAGACTCCCTCTAGCTTCTGAGAGGGAGGGACCTGGCTGCAGGGACCTGAGCAGAATACCTGAGTGGAGCAGGGCAGAGGAGCTCGGGAGCTCCAGCCTGGAAAGCCCCAGGCTGCAGCCTAGCAGAAGGCCAATGGGTACTGGGGGTTGCAGAGGTCAGCCCGGGGTAGTCAAAGGCAGCAGGTCCAAACCCAACCTTGCCGGTGATGAGTAGGTTGATACTGCAGTCTGCCCCAGGGCGCAGGGGCTAGACAATGACTGGCAGTAGCCTTATACTAAGGCGAGGTGGGGATAGTGGGTGGGGGTTCCCTGGGGAGGGGAGACCCCGAGACTGAGGCGTGTACGGCCAGGGGGCAGCACCCCAGATAAAAGGGCACCGGGGTCCTGGGAGGGACACGGGGGCCAAGCGACAGCGGGGCACCGGCCTGCAGAGGGCGCTCCGGAGGCTGGATGAACTAATTCCCAGAGACAACCAGCAGGAGGTGCTGCAGGGGTGAGTCCTGCACCGTCACAACTGGATTGTATCTCTCTGTCTTCATGTCAAATGTGAGCCCATAGTTGAGGTCCAGAAGATGATGTGGTTGATGATTTTCTCCTACTATGGAGGTTAAAGAGTTTCTCTGCAATTGCTGTTGCTGAGAAGGATTATGGTGCTGATAGTAATGCCACCTTTGATAAAAATAGGATGAGGAGGAAGAAAGAGGGTATTGTCTTTGATCCCTAAATACAGGTGCTCCAGAGCTCCTTCTGATAGACTGGAAAAACCATTAAGGACATTGCCATAGATTTAGTATTCTTTGTGCATTCTAGAATCATATCTGTCTTTGAGCTAATTAGCCTGCTGTGTCTCAAATGGGAGATCCTTAGTTTGCATCCTGGTCTCTGGTGGAAGTCCTGCTGAACTCAGCCATGTGAGGCATCTCAAAGATATGGCTGAGGCCACAGTTCTGGTGGAAGTGTCCAAAGAGTCAAAGGATGCTCTCAATCCATGTTTGGCAACATTGTGCCCTTTCCCCCAAGATTGCATTTGCTCGTTTCCTCAGGTCATCTTGGAAATTCTTTATAAATGTTGCCATTTTTCTTCAGGGAGGGTACTGTTAGCATGCCATAACTGCCTAATAGTTTGATACTTTTATGTCAAGAGTAGCTGACAAAAAGATTTTTTCTTCCCCATAATCCAGTCTTTTACCTTCCTTGTCAGCTGGTGTAGAATGAAATTGTTCCTCCTTTGATCTCTGAAGTGCAGTTTCTACCACCATTGGATTGGAGAGTTCAAAGATCCTGCTGGCCTCTAGCCATATTAATGGTCCTCCTCTGGAGAAAAGGAGGCTGGAAGAGATATGAATCTCACCTCTACCCCTCCACTCCAAACCCATTGGAGTCGCCAAATAAAAATGTTCCACCTATCTCATTTATTCAACCACGACTTCTGATTTCTCGGATACTGTCAGAACCAAGAATGGATCCACAATTGGACACTGAACCAGAACCGGGGTACTTAACCACAAGTACGAACTTTCTTCCAGTCAAG